TGGAGTACAGTGTCATGATTACAGCTCACTGTCACCTTGCTCTCCCAGGCCCAAGTGATCTTCCCACCTCGGCCTCCAGAGTAGCTGGAACTATAGGCACGCGCCACCACTCCTGGCTAATTTTTGTATTTTTAGCAGAGATGGGGTTTTGTCATGTTGCCTGGGGAGGTCTTGAACTCCCAGGCTCAAGCGATCTACCCGCCACAGCCTCCCAAAGTGCTGGAATTACAGGTGCGCTGCTGCACCTGGTCAGCCTGAAACTATTTCTAAATTGAAAAAGATGTAGCAACTTTCTCCCTGTCCCCTCCAACTGCTTCTCCCTATCCTTCTGGCTACTTCCCCACCCCCACTCCCTTATTTGAACTCATTCCTTTCTGCTTGTTCCTTTGGTGCTCATATATCTCTTAGGTAGAGACTTTTGGAATTTCACAATGCATACATTTATTTCTCTCAAAAGAGGGAAAGGTATTTAAATGTAGAACAGATATGCAAACAGAACAGCTACAGAACAAGAATAAAACTCCTGAGATTGTTAAAATACAGATCCAACAAATTTTTTCTAAACTTGGACTGATAAATGCCACTTATGATTTCCTGCAACCTTTCCTGGACCTTTTGTGATCTTAGTCTTTCACTGACAATGGTAAAATATATTCAGCCGCCCCCATTAAAATGGAACACTTAATTGAAAAATTAGAAATCTAAAAGAGAAAGAACTATGTAAGTGTTTATAAAAGTTAGGCTTTTAGATCAAAGAGATCAAAATCTTGAGCTTGGAGCAATAATATAAGGAATCTCTGTTCAATACAAAAGTTTTACTTTTTCTGCTATGCAGAGACCAACAACAACAACAAAAAAACCAAAAAAACAAAAAACAACAACCAAAAAAAGCTGAAAGGGGAGAGGGAGAGAGAGAGAGAGAGCGAGAGAGAGAGAGAGAGAAAGAAACTGCTCTAATCTTTCCCATCCACATTTGTTAATCAAGCAAACCAGACTGGTAAACGAAAGATAGATGTGTTACTAATTCAAGGATAATTGGGGATTTTATTTTTCTTATTCAATTCAGCCAGTCCTAGCCAAAATGTAAATATTAAAAATGTAACCTTGGCTGGGCGCAGTGGCTCACTTCTGTAATCCCAGCACTTTGGGAGGCCAAGGTGGGAGGATCATGAAGTCAGGAGATCAAGACCATCCTGGCTAACACGCTGAAACCCCATCTCTACTAAAAATACAAAAAATTAGCTGGGCATGGTGGCAGGCACCTGTAGTCCCAGCTACTCGGGAGGCTGAGGCAGGAGAATGGTGTGAACCCAGGAGGCGGAGCTTGCAGTGAGCCAAGATCACGCCACTGCACTCCAGCCTGGGCGACAGAGTGAGACTCTGCCTCAAAAAAAAAAAAAAAAAAAAAAAAGGACAAAAAAATTAAACTTAAACTCATTTGAAACTGAAAAAAAGGGTAAAATTGATTTTACAAAAATCAAACTTCCGGCCAGGCGTAGTGGCTTATGCCTTTCTAGCACTTTGCGAAGCAAAGACATGAGGATCATTTGAGGCAGGGAGTTCAAGACAAGTCAGGGTAACATAGTGAGACCCTCATCTCAATGAAAATAAAAACAAAAATAAATTAGCCAGGTGTGGTGGCATGCGCCTGTAGCACTAGGTACTTGGGAGGAGGCTGAGGTGGGAGAATTGGTTGAGCCCAGTAGTTCAGGGCTGCAGTGAGCTATGATGATGCCACAGCACTCCAGCCTGGGTGCCAGAGAGAGAGACACTATCACCAAAAAACTAAAATCAAACTGCCACAAAAACTTACTTGCCTGAAATTTTGGTCCACAGTCTTCATTAGATTATCTGTAAGGGCAATCAGATTCCAATTTTGTCAGAAATATAATTTAGATCCAATTGTCTTTTATGAGCCAATGAGTTTTTATTACTATCTCATGACTAAAATTCTAAAATGAAAGTTGTGAAATCTTTGTGTGTGTGTGTGTGTGTTTAGATGTATTTATACATATATACATGTATTATATATTGTGTCTACATGGTAAAATCTGGCATAGTTGACCAGAAATCTCTTCAGGAGAAATGAATGCTCATATAAAATATATAGTAATTAACCCTCATGGCTTTTAGTTTATGTGAAATGAGTAAAGCATGAATAAATAAGATGATTTTAAAATTATTGGTAAAATAAAACTAGAAATGTCTTCAGAATTGTCAGCATACACTTTGCCTGGGTTTACTGGTCAGTTTTATATCTTTCTCTGTTAGATATCTGAAGCTGTCATGGTTTAACACAAAGGTTATAAAAGTATAAACAGCCTAAAACAGAATGATCTTTGTGTAATTTTGTGATAAGACTAATTTAATGTTGTTGATTTAATGAAAACAGCCATATCTTCTGGCTTATCAGCAAAATACCGATATACTTAACTTTAAGGTTCGTATTTAAGTGAACACCTGATAGTCACAGGCTATAAAAATGGATAACAAGGAAATAATTTGATACCATAACTAACTTTGTCTAATATTTCAGTTTTCAGAAATCATCTAGGTTATCTGCTAAAATAAATGAATTAGGTAAATGAAATAAATTTCCATAAATGAACTTTTAATGTAATTTGATATCTTAAAGTTGTATTGAATTAATATATACTAATTAAATCTGGGTCATTATCAAATAAGATTTTAAAATTATTTATAGGGAAACATGTTTCTAAAAATTACAAAATGATTCTCATGATAAGTATTGATATATTGAAAATGAACCAGGTAGGTAAAAAAAGAAAAGAAATTAAAAGTAAAATACTGATATGTGACAGACAATTCAAGATCTTGCTTCGTAGGTTTCACTAAATTTAAGAGTTAAAAAATTGTAATCAATATATAGAATTCTGTATACAAAGAGTGCATATATATTCAAAATGTATTTTTGATAGAAACAAATTATAAGAAAGTCACAAAGTGGCTGGGCAAGGTGGCTTGTAATCCCAGCACTTTGGGAGGCCGAGGCAGGTGGATCACGAGGTCAAGAGATTGAGACCATCCTGGCCAACATGGTGAAACCCCATCTCTATTAAAAATACAAAAATTAGCTGGGCATGGTGGTGCGTGCCTGTAATCCCAGCTACTGGGGAGGCTGAGGCATGAGAATTGCTTGAACCTGGGAGGTAGAGATTGCAGTGAGCTGAGATTGTACCACTGCACTCCAGCCTGGCAACAGAGTGAGACTCCATCTCACAAAAAAAAAAAAAAAAAAAAAAAAAAAAAGGAAAGGAAAAAGAAAGAAAGGGATAAAGTTGTGTTCTTTATTGAGAAAAAAATAATTTTGTCTAATTTGTAGGTTAAACATTGTTTCAAAATATAGAAGAGACAGGAAAGAACCAGTTAAGTAGGAGAGTGATATGTGAAGAAAGTATAGATATGAAGATGTGTTTTTGGTAAGAAAGGTTAAAAAGAAAAGATAATAATTTTACATGAGAAAAAACTTTATATGATAAATTTGTGTCATAAAGTAAAATTTAAGAGAGCAAAAGTAAAGGACAAAGCAGAAATTCCAAGCATATTGTCAATGGTACATATTGTCAGAGTACTTTGTGATAAGGTTTGTGAAAAGAAAATTTATGAAAGAAAATTTGCATTTGATCAAGTTGGCTATAATTAAAAGGAAATTACTTATAAGTCTTTCTAAAGATTGAGCTTTGATATTAAATTATACTAATACAAAACTAAAATTTTGGTTCCCTGTGTTAGAATAACAAGTTTTTCATCAAGTATCGATTTGCTTTCAGTAAAATTCAGAGGTTCTGAATTTTTAATTCTGAAATCTGTATCTTTTTAAAACTTTTCAGACTTGTATCTCAGAAGTTCAACTTTTACTGTACCTTGCTGCATGTGACCTGCAGGTCACATGTCATTGCCTTCTGTTTTTTTATCCCTGGGAAAGGTACATCTTTTTGCTTGGCTGGGGTGGTAACTTTCTCCTTCAGTGTTTTTATCAATTCCTGTAACCTTTGTTCTGGTTCTAACACTGATGTTATGGCCTAACACTGAAATGTTTTATCTTGAAGATGTAGAAAAGCAATGTTTTCCTTCAGTATACCTTGATTCTGTACTCTTGGGTTTTCTTTATAACCAGGAAACATTCATGTTGTTACTAAGAGTCCCTACTTTGTGTCCCTACTCAAGGTACTAGTTTTCTTGTTTACATTTCTCCATAATAAATTGTACATCATAATCTTGGACAAACTCTTCCTCTGTCTGCTTAAATTCAAGTACCTTTTTCATCAGGTTTGACTTCCAGGTTATCTAACTGGGCTTCTCATGAGAAAAAGCAATTACACAACAGAAGATTTTTCTTTTCCTTTTTGGTAACAGATCTGAAAAAAAAGAAAGATTTTACATTTTATCAAGATAATCCTTGTGTTGTCTTTATTAGGATTTTGGTTACTTAGGAAAACTGAGCTTTAAATGGGCTAAGGTTTTCAAAATCATGTAACTTCTATATAGCTTTTGAAGTTTTATGATTATCACTCTGGTTAAATGAATAACTATTATTTAACAGTGACCTGTGATTCTGTTTTGTTTTTCAGATTTTTGTTTTTGTTTTTGTTTTGAGATAGGATCTTGCTCTGTTGCCTAGGCTGGAGTGCAGTTGTGTGATCGTAGTTCACTGTAAACTAGGCTCAAGTGATCCTCCCATCTCAGCCTCCTGAATAGCTGGGACTACTGATGCATGCCAGAACATCCAGCTAATTAAATTTTTTTTTTTTCATTTTTTGTTTTAGAGATAAGGTCTTTCTCTGTTGCCCAAACTGGAATGAAGTGGTGCAATCACAACTTGTTGCAATTTTGAACTCTGGGGCTCAAGCAATCCTTGGTCTCCTGAGTAGCTAGGACTACAGGTGTATGTCACCATAACCAGTTCATTTTTCATTTTTATTTGTAGATACCAAGTCTTCATATGTTGCCCAGGCTGGTCTTGAACTTATGGCCTCAAGCAATCATCTGCCTTGACCTCTCAACGCACTGGGACTACAGGTTTGAGCTACCATGCTGTAAAACTTTTCATGGAGATGAGATTTTGCTAATGTAGCCCAGGCTGGTCTTAAACACCCGGCCTCAAGCAATCCTCCCACCTCAGCCTCCCAAAGCACTGGGATTACTGGCCTGAGCCACTGTACGCAGCCCATGATTCTCTTTTGATCAAATGTTTCAAATCTTTTGATGTCTTTGGCAGATTTCACCAGGATTGAAATTCTAAAGTATGTTTTTTTGGCTTAAAATTAACTTTGGGATATTCTAGTTGGGCCTCTGGAAACATCAAAGAATGTATCTCTCATTTTGTAGAGATATTAAATTATTTGGTAAATTGTATGGTAGGCATTGTCAAATAATAGTATTAGATCTTCTCTCAGTTACATTTATGGGTATGTTATTGATATAAGTGTTTCCAAAATCATACAAATTAATAAAAATATTTTATCAGTCATAATGTTGTTATGATTTTTGATTGCTATGTTAAAGTTACATTTGTATGAATATGTTATTAATTTAAATATTCTAAAAAGTATATAAAAGTTATAAAATTCTGATGATCTGATGTAACATTATCAGTCATAATTCTGGTTGCATCTACTAGATATCTTAAATGCTACATGTAATAGCAATAACTAAATTTCCTGGTCAATTGGAACTTTCATCAGATTTTAATCATGCCTATTCTAAATTTTTATCATCCACAGCTGTTGTTTTGAATTCTTCTCTAAAAGCATTTGCAATCAGCTGTATTCCAAAATTGCTTTTCATGGAAAAGACTAACAAGTACTCTTGAACACTGATTTCTGATAACTTTAGGATAAATGGGCTAAATAAAAACTCCCAGAATTCTAATAAAAGACGGACTCATTCATGAGGATTGCTATGTCAACATCAAAAAAAACAAGAAATACAAGGGACTGAACTGATGGGAACACTAAAATGATTACATAAATTTTTGTTTGAAATATTGCTGATGGTTTTTGTATCTTGTTTTCCAAAGTCAACACTTCCACAGTACATCTCACTACAAAGACATTCCCCAAGGTTAGTGGGTGACCCAAAGCCAATCAGCCCACTCTGTGATTAGCCCACTGTAGTCCTATCTTTTGGTGTTGAGTGTTCCCACAACCTCCAAGGTTTCAAACCTTCCTTTTTCTCTAAGTCCCCTGCAGTAACAACCACTCACTGCAACCACTGGCTGCCACTTCCAAAACTGCAGCTTTTGCCAATAACTTGTCACCCATTACACATACAAAAGTCAGGTTTTCTCTCACAATACGAAGTAATCCCTGGTACCCCAAAAGCCAAAGAGATCAGGTACTACTTTTAATTGCTCCTTTTTTTTTTTTTTTTTTTTTTTTGAGACTGGGTCGCGCTTTTTTACCCAGGCTGGAGTGCAGTGGCATTATCTTGGCTCACCGCAACCTCCGCCTTCCGGGTTCAAGTGGTTCTCCTGCCTCAGCCTCCTGAGTAGCTGGGATTACAGGTGTATGCCACTACGTCTGGCTAATTTTTTGTATTTTTAGTAGAGATAGGTTTTCACCATGTTGGCCAGGCTGGTCTTTAACCCCTGACCTCAGGTGATCTGCCTGCCTTGGCTTCCCAAAGTGCCGGGATTACAGGTGTGAGCCACTGTGCCCAGCCTTTAATTCCTCTTATAACTCTTCATTATTTAACAATTTGGTTTCCTCTATGACAATATAAACTGCAATTTATAAATTAATAGGATCAGATTTCAAAAAAATTCTTGAACCTAATAATTCAATCTTATCTTTTAATTCTAAATACATTTTCCCTTTTTTTCCTTTGAGAGAAGGAGCTGTGAATATTATATAATCTACAATCCTTTTTGTAATGTCCAGGATTTTTGCAGAAATTGCAAAGCAGAGGATTAGATTGGTTTTGGAACTTACTAGGTTAGACAATTGTTTTAGTTGCAAACTCATGATCTTTTTAGCTTTTCCTCTTTGTTTGACTTTTTCTTTTTCTTCCTTAGGTAGAGTATGGAATATTTGATCAGCAAAATTAACTGGCTCATGAGTTTGAGAGGCAGTCCAACTGGGGCATTATCTCTTTGTTACAAATGCCAGTTCTTTATCTGATCCATTTACTAAGTTTTAGTTAAGGAGAACATCATTTTGGTAAGTTAGCATACGTTTATTCTGATAGGTCTGAATATTGTTTAAATGTTTTTTTTTTTTTCACACTCTCATAGTATAACATTGCAGGCTCATCAAGATTTTGTTGGTATTGTTATATTTTGTTCCAATTAATAACTTTTGGAAAACAAAGGGGATAGGATTTAGCAAAGCTTTGGCAGTATTGCAGGCCCATTCATGATCTGCTTCAGAAAATTTATGTAAGTCCTTTAAACAATTTCTCCAATTTGCCTTTGCTATCTAATCTTTGGCTTTACTTTCTGACACTAATATGCGAATCACTTGGTATAAACCAGAGAATCTGGGATTATAAGCTCAAACATTTAAATCACATTTTCTAGCAAATTCAGTGGGGTCCTGAAGAGGATCTGGGAATTTTTAAATTATGCCTTTAAGTTCTACTTTTGACCATGGTTGATATATCAAGTCAGGTTCTCCTCTAATGGACACAAGGTATTTCCAAAATGGAGCCAGAACAGCAGAATGAGGAAGAAGAGGAAGAGGAGGTAAATCTGGACAAGGAATTTCTGTCAAAAGAGAAGGAGGAGGCCAGCTCACACCTGTAATCCCAGCACTTTGGGAGGCCAAGGCAGGCAGTTCACTTGAGGCCAGGAGTTTGAGACCAGCCTGGCCAACATGGTGAAACCCTGTCTCTACTAAAAAGTACAAAAATTAGTCGAGCATGATGCATGCCTGTAATCCCAGCTACTCAGGAGGCTGAGGCAGGAGATGTGATTCAACCTGAGGGTGGGAGTGTGTGTGTGGAGGTTGTAGTGAGCCGAGATCACACCACTGCACTCCAGGCTGGGCGACAGAATGAGACTCCATCTCAAAAAAAAAAAAAAAAAAAAAAAAAAAAAAAAAGTAGAAACAGGAGCTGAAGGAGGGGAAAAAATTTTAGCAGTATTTTTAAATTCAGAAATTGTTTTGTACTTTTGTCTTACTCTTGCAGAGAATCGGCTTTATCACAACCTCTTTTAGAGGTTTCTAAGTACTGTTGAAAATAGCTCCCAGTTATTTTCTTTTCTTTTAGAGCCGACTTTTACTAATGGATCATGCAGATAGACTAGTTTAGGTGTTTCAAAGGTACCCCATTTTGGCCATTGTAACTTGGGGTCATCTTGAGTAATATGAGATCCATTTTCCTAGATATTTGCATGAGGAGGTGCTGTGAGTATTAAACATGAATCCAGCTGGTGTTTCTAGTGGTGGATCTCTACTTCAGGAGGAAGACTCAGTTATAGAAGTAAGGTTGCCCAAAACTAAGACTTTCCTTTTGAATGGCCAAAAAGATCTAGCAGGAGGAATTTTGATCACTCAAGAAGAAAAGTTTAAATTTGTCAATTGAACTGAGCTTCACAATCTGGCCAGTTTTAAAGACTTTCTTTTTTCAGTGATAAACTGGTATCTTCCTGACCAAAATTCTGAATGAGAGAAAAGTTTGAAAAGCTCTAAGGTATAATTCAAATAAGACCTTAATATCAGAGAAAAAGTGAAACTTACAAATCTGTGATCACCAAAATCACTAAAGAACAACAAATGAAACTCTTACCGAACAGTAGAGTTTCAATTTCAGCCCTATCAATTTAGGAATGTGTATAGGCTTAAATAATGTCTCAATCCTCAAGCAAGTCAGGAAGATTCAAACTTGAGAGGGGCCTTTCCAGGGATCATGGTTGACTCCAGAAGGTTGGATAAACTACTGGCACCAGGTCTCCAGTTGTCAGTGAAGTGACAGTGATCACTGGAGGTCTGCTTCAGGTCCCGTTTGGGTCACCAAAATGTCAACCTTAAGTAATGAGATACAGAAAATATGATTAAGCATAGAGTTTATTTGAGCTCAAAGTTTGAAGATGGCTACCCAAAAGCATAGATTCAAGTTTCCCTGAATACACACTTCTATTTGCTGTAATTACAAGTAGTTTAAACATTTTTAAAAAATAATTAGAGACAGGGTCTTGCTGGGCCTGAACTCCTGGCCTCAAGCAATCCTCCTGACTCAGCTTCCCAAAGTGTTGGGATTTTAAGCATGAGCCACTGCACCCAGCCTTACCAGTGGGTTTTAAAGGAAAAAAAATAAAAAAGAGGCAATTCCTAAATTGTTTACCAAGATTTTACATTAAAATGACATAAGTTATTGATTGGCTACACATTGTTCTTTGTATCACAAATTTCAGTAACATGAAGGTAATGGGCGAGGCAGCTAGTCAAGAACAAAATGCCTTTAAACAATTGACTGGGTGCAGGGGGCCATGACTGAAGCTCCATACTCATGTCTCTCTGGGCCTGATACATTTTGCACACCTCACATAGATCGGATCGCTCTGAGCTATTTCTCTTTTTCTCAGGGATAATAGTATTTTTCTCATAGGGGTTTCATAAAGATTAAATAAGAAATAGCAAATTGCATATAGTGTCTAGTACAGAGTAAGTGTTCAATAACAGTTATGATGAAATGATTGCAGTAATTGAGAAGAGAAAGGAGAAATAGGAGAGAGGAGTAAAATTCCTTAAGAAGGTCAAGATGTATGCCCTCCTAAGCACAGGTAGTGGAATTAACTCAGCATTCACCAGGGAATAGGAAACTTTTCCCTTCACCCTTTAGGGTTCACTGAAAACTGACAAAAGGCAGATTAATAGGAGAAAAGGCATACACAATTTTATTTTCATGTAAATAGCATGGGGGAATCACAGAATGGTGACCCAACAATGCACTATTATACAGAAGCTTATGTACCTGTTTTCAGAGGGGAGAGATGTACTGACTTGGGAGGTAGGAGGCAGATGATATAGAAAGGCGAAGGACAGGTCAGGCACGGTGGCTCACGCCTGTAATCGCAGTACTTTGGGAGGCCGAGGTGGGCAGATCACCTGAAGTCAGGAGTTTGAGACCAGTCTGGCCAACAGGGTGAAACCCTGACTCTACTCAAAATACAAAAATTAGCTGGGTATGGTGGTGGGCGTCTGTAATCCCACCTACTCAGGAGGCCGAGGCAAGAGAATCGCTTGAACCCAGGAGGTGGAGGTTGCAATGAGCCGAGATCACACCACTGCACTCCAGCCTGGGCAACAGAGCGAGGTTCCATCTCAAAAAAAGAACCAGAGCTGCACAGAAACAAAGTCTGTCTTATTATGTAGATAAAGTCCCTGGGAAATCTCTTGGTGCTGCTCTCAGAAGAACAGATGAAAAGTCTGTCTGGGGGTGGGGATGACCCCCAGTCTCTTCTCTTCTCTGGTGGTTGATCTTTCCTGGTTATTTGATGAGATTCCTAGGGAGAGAGTCTTAAGACAATTGTATTCAAACTTTCTTCTTCAGATAAGAAATTCCAGAAAAAGTCTTTCTTATTTATTTTTTTATTTTTATTTTTTTGAGACGGAGTCTCCCTCCGTTGCCCAGGCTGGAGTGCAGTAGCAGGATCTTGGCTCATTGCAACCTCCCTCTCCTGGGTTCAAGTGATTCTCCTGCCTCAGCCTCCCGAGTAGCTGGGATTACAGGCACCCACCACCACCATGTCTGGCTAATTTTGGTATTTTTAGTAGAGACAGGGTTTCACCATATTGGCCAGGCTGGTCTCGAACTCCTGACCTGAGGTGAGCCGCCCACCTAGGCCTCCCAAAGTGTTGGGATTACAGGTGCGAGCCCCCATGCCTGGCCAAGAGTCTTTCTTAGGGTGCTTCTGGAAACAGGATCAGAGAGACAGGAAGGTGGGAGAAGGGGCATAGAGAAAGACCTTTCTTCTCAGGCTTATTTTTGAGGATTTTCAAAAGCACTCAGCATGGCTATATTTGGGGAATCATTTCTGTGCCCCAACACAGGGAAGAAAAGGGAGAAACACACTAGATATGGATTTTTTTTTAAATTTTTATTTTTTGAGATGGGGTCTGTCTTTATCACCCAGGCTGGAGTGCAGTGACACAATCATGGCTCACTGCAGCCTTGACCTCCTCGGCTCAAGTGATCCTCCCACCTCAGCCTCCCAAGTAGCTGAGACCACAGGTGTGCACCACCACGTCTGGCTAAATTATTTTTATTTTTTTTTGTAGAGATGGGGCCTCCTTATATTGCCCATGCTGGTCTCAAACTCCTGGGTTCAAGTGTTCCTCCTGCTTTGGCCTCCAAAGTGTTGGGATTACAGGCGTGAGCCACTGCACCTGGCCTAGATCTAGAATCTAAAGCACTTGGCAACTTGAGAATAAGAAAGAGCAGTCAAAGTTGATTATAAAATTTTGAGGCAAGCTGGGTGTGGTTGCACCTGAGTAGTTGGAACTTGTAATTCCAGCTATTCAAGAGAGCACCTTGAGTAGGTGGAACCTGTAGTAATTCCAGCTACTCAAGAAGCTAGAATATCTATATTCCAGACAAGAAATTCCAGAAAGAGCCTTTCTTATTTATTTATATTTTTTGATTTATTTATTTTTATTTTATATGTATATATATTTGATGCTAACTACAAGAGTGGTGTCAATAACAAAAACAGAGAAGTAGTTTTCTCTATTTTTTTGGACTACTTTGATGGGAAGATAATACATTTTATTTCAACTGTTAAAGTAGGAAATGCTTATAAGACATCCAGATGGAGATATTAAACAATGAGAATGAAGGCCAGAAGAGATCAAAAAAGGACTTGAAACTAGAGACAGATTTGAAGTCATCTACTTGGTGTTAATAATGACACTGTGGGAGCAAGAGAATTTATTAATTTTGTATTGCTAGTGTATTCTGTACATGCTGGTCTTGCACATAGTAGGTGTTCAATGAACATGTTTTACTGTTGTCGTTGAAAAAGAAAACAGAATTATCTAGATAATCTACATTTAGGAGAAGAACGAGGACTTGATTGAGGACCCAAAGGATGACCAAGAAGAGGTGCAGGAGAAAACCCAGAATTCTGCAGTGTCTTGGCGATGCAAGTGTCAGAGGCATTTGAACCAGAGCTACTCGATCTTGAGTGAGGGCTAAGAAAAGTGAGGCTGGGACTTACTGGGCTGCATTCCCAGGATGGTAGGTATTCCTAGCTGCTACATTAACGGAACAGGTTAATAACGTTTACTAAACAGACCCAGACTCAGGAATGTCCTGATATCTTGAAAACAAAAGCACTCCTAATTTTGCTTTAAAGATAAATAATATCGATTCTTGTAAAATACAGTAATTAAGAAAATTAATTTTTAAATCACAAACCCTTGTAGCAGAGCAAATCTCCCCATGTTTTTTGTTGTTGTTGTTGTTGTTGTTATCCTATATATAAATAAGCATTGTACCTAGGGGTGGGTGCGTTCCTCCTCTTACTTTCAGAAATGCTCTACTCTGTCTATAGAGTAGCTATGCTTTCCCCACTTTACTTCCTTAATAAACTTGCTTTTGCTTTGCACTGTGGACTGGCCCCAAATTCTTTCTTCAGTGAGATCCAAGAACCCTCTTCTGGGGTCTGGATCAGGAGCCCTTTCTGGTAACATAAGGAAGAGAAATTCATGAAGGAGAGGGTGGTCTACAGTGTGAAATGCCAATGAGAGATTAAGGACCCTGCGGACTGAGAAACTTTTTGGAATTGGCCAATTCTTAAAAATATAAGCTCCATGAGGGCAGATGTTTGTTTAGAGGCAGGATCTTACTTATTGCCCAGATTGGAGGGCAGTGGCTATTCACAGGCACAATCACAGTGCACTGCAGCCTCAAATCCCTATGCTCAACTGATGCTCTTGTCTCAGCCTCACAAGTAGCTGGAACTACAGACATGTGCCTGGGCTTCCGCTGAGAGCAGATATTTTTGACTGTTAGCAGACTGCCTGTAACATTGTAGGTGCTCAACAATAAATACTGTGAACAAAAATTATCTGAAAAGGAATTTAGAAGAAAGAGAATATTCCAATGAACAGTTTGCAAATTGGGGAGACACAGCCTTTGGCACAAAAGGAAGGTACATTCCAGAGAACAAAGGGAGGGATTGTTTTTATACAGAAAGTACCTACCCAGGTTCCCATGCTCCTCCATTTATGCAAATGAAGGATGCAAACTTGCTTAGTTCTGATTGGTTGATTTTGCTGAGTTTTGGTTGCTTGACACAGGTTACAGCTTATTGGTTGGTTCTGGAGTATAAACAGGAACTGGCAGCTATGAAAGCTGAAAAGTTAAGCAAAAGCCTGTAAGGAACTCAGAGTACATGTGTGATCTCTAATCAGCAAATGGCCAATTGGCTCTATTTTCAATTCAGGCCCAGTTAGACACTAAGGATTTATCTTGAAGGATTGGCTTTTTCAGGTTTCACAACGCAGAACAAATGAACTGATGATATTTCAGAAAACACTTTCAGAAAACTGTTGGGCACAGAAGCCAAATCTTAAGGGATAAATAGAGTTGCCACTTTCCTAAAAAATACCCTACTATTTCTCATCTGTTTTCCCCATGTAGTCAGAGTGATTTAATGCAGTTGTGTAATAATGGCTCACTGCAGCCTTGACCTCCCAGGCTCAAACTATTATCCCACCTCAGCCTCTTAAGTAGCTGGGACTACAGGCATATACCACTATGTCTGGCTAATTTTTAAATTTTTTTGTAGAGACGGGGTCTCACTATGTTGCCCAGGTTGTTTTTGAACTCCTGCGCTCAAGTGATCCTCCTGCCTTGGTTTCCCAAAGAGTTGGGATTATGGGTGTGAGCCACTGTGCTTGGCCAGAATGACTTTTAAAAAATTAAATCATCAGATCATGTAACTTGCCTTCTGAAAATGTTTCAGTAGATTCCCATTGAACTTAAGATTTAAAAAACAAAACAAATCCACATTGCCTGAGACCACGAACTCTGCACAACCTGGCCTATATTTTCAACTGTACTGCATACCACTTTACTTCTCCTGCACTACACTCCAGCCACGACCTTTAACCAGAGAAGAGAGACAAGTTCTCACCTTTCCCTTCTATTCCTTCATCATACCAATCTTCTTCCTGTATTAGGATATTTGCATATGGTTCCCTTTGTTTAGAATATGCCATCCCATCCTTCTCATCCTCAGGTTTCTGTTCAATTGTCGTTAACACCTCCCCAAAGGGTTCTCATTCCTGTGTACTTGGTTTAAAGTTGTCCTTCCCTCAGCCCCCATTGCTCTCAAATGATCTTGCTTTGTTTCCCTCATAGGACTTGCTTTATGTCCCTCATAGGACTTCATACAGTTTGGAATTACCTTGTCTATTTGTTTACGCGTTTATAATCTGTCTCCTCCCACTAGGATATAAACTATCTAAAGAGAGAGAACATGCAAACTGGGAGGAGAGTAACTGATGAATAAAATTTGAGGAAAAGAAAAAAGGGATGAGATGAAGAACTCAAAGGGAGGAATGAGAGTACCTTTCTTTCTCAGAAAGAAGCGCCAAGAACATGGAAGAGAGCAGAAACATCGGGGAGTCTGAGGTGGAACACGCTGTGTAACCTGACAAGTTATTTTCCCATCAGCCTTTAATTACATAGTTAAATTGGCTGTGGGAATAGCAGCAAACTATTTGATTTTAGGTTGCCAGCTGGCTCTGGAAGACATGCATGTGTATGGGGTGGAGAAAATCCTTTTCCAGATTCTTTTTTCCTTGTCTTTACTAGGCTGAATAAGAAGAATCAGTGGCCATACTATATATGTAAAATGGGCTTTGGGAACTGCAAAGGCCTTTACAGATGTGGTTACTGTTATTTTACTTTGTGCATGATTCTAAAGGAGGTATGCACCGTCTGAAGCGCCAGGAAGGAGCATCTGGGTGGATGTCCATGATGGCTCCAAAGGGACTTCGGCATTTTTCCTCAGAGACAGTGAGTTCAGATTTACACAGTATTTGTTTTTTATCACAGGCTTTGAAATGACTAAGCATTAAATTCACATAACCCTGCTGTGAAACACATTATAATAATGTTATTATAACCCCATTTTCTGTTGAAAGATAGAAATAAGATTTGTTCCAGACTAAACAGGAAGTCAGTAATAAGATTAAAGTTACTGGTTAATCTAGGCTTTCTGATTGTGCATACATTACATCTTTTAAACACATAAGGTTCAGGATGACAACTACCAGCAGCATGATTGGTGTTCTTTTCTATTCCCTCCCTCTCCCCTTACCCCCACAGTAGTGTAGACAACCAAGGTGATATAGTTTGGATTCATGCCCCCCCACCCCAATCTCATGTTGAATTGTAACCCCCAGTGTTGGAGGAGGGGCCTGGTAGGAGGTGACTGGATCATGGGGACAGATTTTCCCCTTGCTGTTCTCATGATAATGAGTTCTTACGATCTGATTGTTTAAAAGTGTGTAGCACTGCTGGGCATGGTGACTCATGCCTGTAATCCCAGCACTTTGGGAGGCTGAGGCAGGTGGATCACGAGGTCAGGAGTTCAAGACCAGCCTGGCCAACATGGTGAAACCCCGTCTCTACTAAAAATACAAAAATTAGCTGGGCATGGTGGTGCATGCCTGTAGTCTCAGCTGTTCAGGAGGCTGAGGCAGGAGGATTGCTTGAACCCAGGAGGTGGAGGTTGCAGTGACTGAGATCATGCCACTGCACTACAGCCTGGGTGACAGAGTGAGGTTCCATCTCAAAAAAAAAAAAAAAAAAGTGTGTAGCACCTCCTCCTTTACTCTCTTCCTTCTGCTCCAGCCATGTAGAATGTGCCTGCTTCCCGTTTGCATTCCACCATGATTGTAAGTTTTCTGAGGCCTCCTCAGTCATGCTTCCTGTATAGCCTGTAGAACTGTGAGTCAATTAAACTTATTTTCTTTATAAATTACTCAGTCTCAGGTAATTTTTTTATAGCAATGTGAGAACAGACTAATACAAAAGGCATGTGTGTATGGTATATGAAAGACAGATGAAGAAAATATTAAATATGAGTATTTATAACTATATATAACTATAGTTTATGACTAGTAGCAAACTAGTGCTGCTTTCTAGTATTTGGGATTGCAGATTTTCTTTGCATGACTGTGCTTCCCTGGGAGATGCTGGCACAGAGCTGTGTGTCATGGGAAGGGAAAGTTGGCAGTGGGTAGGTGCTGCAGAGTGCTCATGAAGAACCTTCCTGGGCTGCTGATTTAGAGGTTGGGGAGAGCAATGGTGAATGAGGATGACGATTTAGCTGTTACCACAGAGAGTGAAGATAGTTAATGATTTGTAGTAAATAAGGCTGGAAGAGGCCCACAGGAAACTTTCATAATAGACAAACATTCCTTGTCTTCAAAATATTTACATTTGGTACTATGCTTTTCTTCCCTTCTCTTGTATATTTCTTTAAAAAAATCTAATTTGTCATTTTGAAATAGGTCTAGAAAAGTCGATGTCCTATGAGGGTCAAGTGAGGGCTTGACTGAAGCACTGAAGGTTTGGCTCTTCCCATAAGTAACCCTTTACTTCCAATGATGTAGATAAATGACTAGATAAATTGGAAGCCAAAGGGTTTTCAGGAATTAGTAATGCTGTGGTAAGCAAACTGTGGGTAGAATTGTGGCAGTGGTTGTTGCGTATGAGGGTGCTGAGAGGAGGCATTTCTGTGTGCCTGCTCAGTTCTCTGGGTGGAGGACTGCCACTAGTTCAGGTGCACCTCAGGCAAGCTCCCAAAGCAGCTATACTTGCCTACTTCCTAACAGTTTGGGCAGCTTGGGAGCTCTGCAGAGTACACATAGGCCCTTGGACCCCCACTTTTATTTTATTTTTTTCTTTCAATTTTTTATTTTAGGCTCAAGGGGTACATGTGCAGGTTTGTTACAGGGGTAAATTGCATGCTGTGGGGGTTTGGTGTACAGATAGTCTTGTCACCCAGGTAATCAGCATAATACCCTATAGGCAGTTTTTAAATCTTTGCCCTCTTCCTACTCTCCACCCTCAAGTAGGCCTCAGTGTCTATTGTTCCCTTCTTTGTGTCCATGGGTACTCAGTGTTTATAATTCCACCTGTAAGTGAAAACATGTGGTATTTGATTTTCTGTTCCTGCATTAATTCATTTTGGATAATGGCCTCCAGCTCTATCTGTGTTGCTGCAAAGGACATGGTCTCGCTCTTTTTTGTGGCTGTGTAGTATTCCATGGTGTATATGTACCACATTTTCTTTATCCAGTCCACCACTGATGGGCATCTAGGTTACTTCCATGTCTTTGTTATTGTGAATAGTGCTGTGATGAACATACACGTGCATGAGTCTTTTTTTTTTTTTGAGGCAGGGGTCTCACTCTGTTGCCCAGGCTGGAGTGCAGTGGCATGATCTTGGCTCACTGCAACCTGACTCCCAGGCCCAATTGATCCTACCACCTCAGCATCCCAAGTAGCTGGGACTACAGGCACTCGCCACCATGCCCAGCTAGTGGTGTGTGTGTGTGTGTGTGTGTGTGTGTGTGTGTGTGTGTGTGTGTGTGATGTTGCCCCGGCTGGTCTCCAACTCCTGAGCTCAGGGTGATCCACCCGCCTCAGCCTCCCTAAGTGCTGGGATTACAGGTGAGTCACTTAGCCTGGCCATCTGTGCATGTGTCTTTATGGTAGAACGATTTATATTCCTTTGGGTATATACCCAGCAATGGAATTGCTGTGGACCCCCAATTTTAATGACAGTACTTTCCCTATTTTAAAAGACTCCTATGATCCTGTGTGAAACGTAGGAGATTGAAAGAAAAAAAAAAAGACTCCTATGATTCTTTCTTTCATCTCCAACCAACTTAGGCTAGAAAGAAGGAAAATCAAATAGGCAGGCATGGTGGCTCACGCCTGTAATCCCAGCACTTTGGAAGGCCGAGGTGGGCAGATCACCTGAGGTCGGGAGATTGAGACCAGCCTGACCAACACGGAGAAACCGCGTCTCTACCAAAAATACACAATTAGCCGGGGGTGATGGTGCATGCCTGTAATCCCTGCTACTCGGGAGGCTGAGGCAGGAGAATCGCTTGAACCTGGGAGGCGGAGGTTGCAGTGAGCTGAGATGGAGTCATTGCATTCCAGCCTGGGCAACAAGAGGGAAACACTGTCTCCAAAAAAAAAAAAGAAAGAAAGAAAGAAAGAAAATAAAAAAGGGCAGCCCAGTTCTGATTACAGCCCACTAAATGCAGTTACTCATCAATTACTTTATAGTCTCAGAAATATGCACCCATTAAGATTCAGCACATGTATAAATAAGCTTATGTACCTAATGTTTACACACACTTTAATACTAACCCTACACTGTATGTATGGTTTATTCTTGCCACCTTTGTATCTTTCCAGACTCACACATTACCATCACTATGCTGCCTTTTATTTGTTGTAGAAAGTACCCCAGAGTTGGAAGATCCCGCATTTGAAGCCTGTTTCTCCCATTATTATATGGCTTGTAGGAAGGGGAACCATCTGAAGAGAAAGAGTAGGTTTTTCTGGTCTCAGGTCTCAGAAGACCAGTGGCCTTATAAAACCGTAATTCCGGCCGGGCGTGGTGGCTCACGCCTGTAATCCCAGCACTTTGGCAGGTTGAGGCAGGCAGATCACGATGTCAAGAGATCAAGACCATTCTGGCCAACATAGTGAAACCCTGTCTCTTGTAAAAATACAAAATTAGCCGGGCGCGGTGGCGCATGCCTGTAATCCCAGTCACTTGGGAAGCTGAGGCAGGAGAATCTTTGAACCCGGGAGGCAGAGGTTGCAGTGAGTCGAGATAGCGCCACTGAACTCCAGCCTGGGCTACAAGAGCGATACTCCCTCTCAAAACCTACCAACCAAACAAACAAAAACAAAGATTGTAAATATTTGTTTGGTTTGCACTGAAGAGAGAAGGCTTCTCCTCAGAGTCTGAATCAAGGAGGAAAAGGAAGGAAAACAAGTTCATCTTACATCAAAAGTCTACTTTGTGTCGGACACTCAAATTCCTAAATGGGGAGAAATGCAAAAAACTGACTCTTCAGAGTCATAACTAACATTATCTTGGGCCACAAGCTTATCAGGAGTGCAATACAAGTCAGTGTCTTCTCTTTTCTACTTAAATTCTCATTTTTATTTATTATTACTTTATTGCAAGGAGAAGCAGACAATAAGTAGGAGTTTTATGAGGGGCTCTGATGCATAGGAGCAATGGCGAATGAGGGTGGTGACTCACCACCCCATGGGACTCCAAGGTTTCGGTGACAGCTCGCCAGAGCCCCAGGGGGCGCCGAGATTGCGGCGAGGGGAGCCGCAGCCCAAGGCAAATCCACGCAGTTGGTCCCCGCCACGCCCCCGTAGTCACCCGCAGCCCCTCGTCGCAGGGCGCTCCGCGCATGCGCACGGGGTCGGGCTCGGGAGGCGGACCCTGGCTGCCATCTTGCAGCGCGCGGGAACCGCCGCCGCCGCTGGCCAAAAAGCGGAGCCTGGCGAAAGCGTGTCCTGCTCAGACAGCCTTCCTTCTCCATTGCCACCGTGCCGAACAGCCAGGCTGCCCAACTGCAACTGTAGGCCAATGAACTAATCCATCGCCCGCAGACCGACTCTCAGCAGCGGTTCGTCCCGGTGCCCACCCCCGCGAAACGGAGTGCCCGGGCACCTAGCCTCCCCGCCGGCCACGATGCCGAACGTGCTGCTGCCGCCCAAGGAGAGCAACCTCTTCAAACGCATCTTGGTGAGTGACCACAGGCCGCACTGCCGCCTCCCAGTCTCCGGGTCCTCGGGCCTTAAGGGCAAGCGGTCTGGCGGCGGCCGGCGCAGGCCGGGCTTGGCCTCCGCTGCCCACCGCTCTTTGTTTACCTCGGAGCTCGCGGGACCCCACTTTCCCGCTCCGACCGGCCCCGGGGGCAGCCACGCCGCTCCTCCGCGCGCTTCCTTTCCTCGGTCTGCAGCGGCTCGCCTCACCCCCGCCGCGCTCTTTCCAGAAACTTCACGCCGCCCTCCGCAGTGCCTGGGCACAGTCTCCTCGGCTGGTAGTGGCTGCCGTGCGCTCTGCCACGCCGGGCTCGCAGCAGTCCCTCAGGGATCCTCCCTGGTTGGTTTATTTTGCCAGTCTCCCCTCGGTGAGGTGTTTTGCGTTCTGCATTCTCTGTTTTGCGTTTAATTCGATTGCACGGCGCACCCGCATACCTGTTAAAGCGGGATCGATGCGATGGTGGAATTTTTCCTGGTTACAAGGAAATAAAACCGGCAACTCTAGGAAGCCAAGCTTGGCACCACCTCCCGTTGGGAAAAAAGTTTGCCTGTTTATAATGTACCTCTTTGGAAGTGAATAGTTGACTTGAAGT